GAATGGACTGCTTGTGGAAAATTGTGGCAAGCGATGAATGTAAGTTAACGCTGAATCAACCCTGTCAGATATCTACAGTGGTCAAAATTGCCGTTTGAATGGAGTTTCGAATTGAAGACTGTTGGCATTGTTAAGCATCTTCTGAGTAGGATTTATTTCAATACCAATAGCAAGAACATGTTCATGAATGGGCAGTTCGCAAGTCGTTAGTTTCGAGGCAATATTGCCGGTTAATCCAGAGAGTTGCAACACAGGGGAACTGCGTTCCCCTCCTGTGCTTGAAGGAATGCGAAATTACGAGTCAACGACTGGGAAAACGAGGATGGAAAAGAAAGCACTCACCATCCTGACTGCCGTCGATCAGGAAGCGGGTCTGGTCAATCGAGATGGTGAGGCCCTTGTTGGCATCGAAGGAGACCGGTCGAACGGTCAGCACCGGAAATCCAATCTGCTTCGTCCACGTCGACATTATTGACTTGACGTCCTCACCGGAGACCTCTGACAGCGCCTTCCAGAGGTCCTCTGTCATCGTGTTGGAGAACTTGTGGCGATTTATGTACAGCTGGAGGCCCTTGTTGAATGTCTAATTAATAAATGAAGACGGCGGCTTGAAGACAGTGCTCTGGAACACGAAGGCGTGACGGTTCGACGGTGACAAGGCACCGCAACCAGGCATACTTACTTCGGGTCCGAGGTAGTCGTTGATCATGCGGATGATGGACGAGCCCTTCTCGTACGACACTGCGTCAAAGATCTCTTCCACCTCATCGGGCGAGTTCACAACAACCTAGGCACCAAGAGCGTGTGGTTCAGCACTCACGATCGACTCACAACTACGCTGAAGCCACTGTGAGCCAATGAAAAACAACCACCTCTTTGCTATGAAGTGAGCGACCATGAACAAATAGTGAATACCTCTCTGTGTCGAATCCTGATAAACAAGTCGTGAGTTGTGGATGACACAAGCGTGGGATCAAGGGCGTGGAAATAGCATAAACATGGACTAATTGGGGGGATACGAGTAAACAAATAGCACGGGTACCGTTGAGAATGATGGGAACGTAGCACGCACCTGCACCACACAACGACTTAGGTCAGTTTACATGATAATCAACAGTTTTTTTTAATGTCACAAGCTTGGAGTGACTGGCACGGGTAGGGCAGATAACATGGGCTGTAAAACATAGAGTTCAAAACGTGTCGTTTCAGGCAACAGAACATGGAAAAAACGCACCTCGATTGGATGGCTTGTCCTCAACTCGTCTGTTTCCATGGCCGCGTAGAACTGAGAGGGCAGGAAAATCGACTGAAGGGGGGAGAAGAGCAAAAGTGTGAGAGGGCGGCACAACCAACTGGTCACCACCAAGTACGCCAGACTCACCCAGATGTCGAATTCGGGGAAGCAGTGGTCCACGGCCAGATACTCGATCCACGTGGCGAAGCCTTCGTTAAGCCACAAGTGTGTCCACCACTCCATGGTCACGAGGTTACCGAACCACATGTGGGCCACTTCGTGAGCCACTACCAGCGCCACGTAGCGTTTCGACTGCAGGGATGATTGCGCCTCGTCTATCAGAAGGGCTGTTTCACTACAAAAGATCAAGGCGTTTGTAGCCACCCAAGGTCGATTAAATGCTCAAGTAGGTAGTTTTTACTCGAAATGAAAACCGATGCAGCAACTGACTGCAAAGCCGACGAAATGTTACCTTGGTGATTTACGGGACCTCAACTCGACAACCTACAGCCTGTGCACAGCGTAAAAGTAGCCAAATGATTAGGGGGGCAACGGGTAAGATTCTCGAATGAGACTGACCGATACGTGAGAAGACCCCAGTTTTCCATGGCACCCATGGCGAAATCGGGAATGGCGATCAGATCCAGCTTTGGCAAGGGGTATCCGATGCCAAAGAGATCTGTGTAGAAGGGCAGAGCACTTTTGGCCACGTGTAGAGCATGGTGTCCGAGTTGAGAACGGCCGGGAGGCGTGTAGACACGAATGAGGACGTTGTTGGCATCAATTGCCTCACAAAAGTCGAAGTGACCGACCACGAAGGCAAAGATGTACGTTGACATGACGGGTGTCTGAGCGAAGCTCACCCGCACGTACTTTCGGCCGTTTTTGGGAGCTGGAAGGTATTTTGGCGGATCATCTAAAGCCTCACGAGAAACCTCGGGCTACAGAAAAGTGGGTCACCGTCGTTAGCTTAGAATCTGACTCACATGTTTTAAGAACTAAAGGGCCACCTTACCATACACGAAAGGGCTGTCAAGTGGTCCTGTATCACCAGGGAAATCGTGAATTTTGCCTTTCTGCTCGGCTCGTCAGCGCATGGAAAAGCCATTCTTGCGTAGGTGGGCTATGCAAAACAAAACTGACGTTACATTCAGAAGTGATATTAAAAGCAGCCACAACCCTGGTCGCGGTTTACCTCGAACTGAGTAGCAAGAACAATTCGTTTTTTGCCACCTTCGTCATTGTATGCGCTGCGATAGAAACCTTGCATGTTGTCATCTAGAATTCCTTTGTAGTCAAGACAAAGCTCGGCATCTCCTTCCTTAAAAGAAGCAATATTCACGTAAACGTAGCCTTACTGGGAGAAGAGACCCGAAGTTAATCGTGACACGCTCCTGTTTCTCGTCATATTCAATTGACTTACTACTAGCTACAAACAATAAAGTACATAAAGCTATTCAAACCTGTGTTGTCGGACTTGGCTGTGCTGTGACGAATCTTCGCCGAAAGTATTTCAAGTTTTTTGGCATTTAGAATAAACTGGTTGGTGGACTGTGCAAGGTGCATGGAGATTGTAGCATTGCCATGGAAGGTGAAATCGGTGGCATTCGGGAGGAAGTCCAGCTTATACTCCTTAACTTCATACGTTGTTGGCAATCTTTCAAAATGAAGGTCGGGTGCAGCCATCTGCGGACGGAGGTATTTAAATCGAGGTGAACAAGCGCCAAACACTGCGGCATAAACCAAATGCAAATATGCTGACCCCTCAAGGCCAATAGACGGATTCTGGTACGAGAGTTCATTGATTTGACTAAAAGAAAATATCGTTGGGTTACCTTAGATCTGCAAGTTTGTCAATAAAAATGTTGCAGAAAAAAATTTTCTTACATGAAAAGTTTTTTATGTAGATAATAGCTGCAAATATTAGCCATTAAACCAAGTTTTCCTTGACGCAGCCAAGTTGTGCAAAAGTAAAATCAATACAGTATTCAGGGAAATTTCTTATAAAAGTCTATTTGCTTATGGCATGGGTTGTGCACTATAAATACTATTTAAGTCTTTGAACTTGTGATAAGTCCTTTTTAGCCCTTAAAAAAGATAATTGTAGATCTATGAGCTGTCAGTAGTGCAGGTGCTTTTGTGGTTTTTAAGCTACTAAACTAACAAAACCTGGATTTTTTGATGCAGATATTGTATATACTAGATTCAAATCGTTTGAATGTTGGAACTGTGAATGGTTTTCTGTTTCACCTGTTTTCTTGACTTGCTCTACATTTCATTCACATTTTACTTTGATGTCACATCATCTGTTAACTAAAACTTGTCTTCACAGGGGTAAATATTAAAATCTAATGACAGTGAAAATGAAAGGCGTTGGATTGGAATTGAATCACCTTGTTTTATGAAGAAGCATCAAGTGGTGCTAAGAAATTTCTGTCATTTCAACATTATCTGTACTCATTTAAAACCAGTTATATAGACTTTTGTATAATTCTAAAGCCATCTAGTTTTGCTGACCATTCTGGACGAACTGATTAGACATCCGCAAAGACTTTAATTTTTTTTATAAATGACTGAATATTCTAAATCGATGTCTTACGTAACACTTACCTTCACAAACTCTGACTTGTAAGAATATTAATAGAATTGATTTAGGTTGCAGTTAATAGGAATTTGTAAATTATGTTTTTTTACTAATGTTGTTCAACACCGATCCAATATTCAAAAGCAGTGCTTTGTTGACAGAAGTGGTCATCGCAATTTGCCTTATTCTCATTTAAATAAAAAAATCTCTGCATTATAAAATGACGAAAAGCATTCGTGAACACCATTAAAAAATCAAACTAATAGTGTGTAATAGAACTACATATGTAGTCGTGGTATATCTGAGGGGTAGAGGATAGATTTCTCTGTTAAATAATTTAAGTCCAGAGGCTAATAATTTCGCACGATCAAATATATAAATAAGCTACTAATTTTAACAAAACTAACAATTTACGGAACTTTTCTGTGCTTTAAAAGTTCATTAGAAATTATGTTTTTTTCAAAAGAAATGTTGGTTGCTCGAGATAAGTCGTCTGGAGTCTCTTATTTTTTACGTGTACCAAAAAAATTTTTGGTTAACACATCTAGTTAATGTTTAAATATTAAAAGTTTGTTTACTAATTTAACTGGTAAATACTTAAACGTTTAATAGGTCTTGTACTTGACCTTATTTTGTGTTTAAGTATATAAACTATCTGTTGTGAATTTGGAGCAGTCATTTAGTTTTGTTTTTATTCCGAATTGGGTCCTTACTCATCTTTTGTACAGTAAAACCATAACAAGATAATAGAGATTTTCAAATGAAACTTAGGTAAAAGTTTTTTTCTTGATAAAACCTTGTAGCAATGATCCCTATATGTTCTGCTAATTCCTGATTAGATAAAAGGCACGGAATGTTTGATTAACCAATCATTATGTTGTATCGACAGATTTTTTTATTTAACACTGTAGGAAACGTATTGTGTTGTATTCTTCGAACAAATTGCTTTTTGTCATTATTGCCAAGCGCAGATTTGATTTGCGTACTGATAATTGTGTCGCAATTCATAAATGTGCAAGTGCTCGAATTTGTACATTTGCTCTACAAACGCTAATTCATATATAACTCTAAATGCTAAGATTAAGATGCTCTTGTTTTTTACTGCATCCAGTGCCAATCTTAGATTTATTTCGAATATGCATTTGAGTACTATTTTGTTTGTTATTAGGTTCATTCGACATTATTGCATTTATAATTTCACGAAAGATTAAACTCTTGTTGTTAGAAAGGTCTTTAAACTTTAGAAAATTATCTGATTTCGTCAATGGTATTATTTTGTTTTGGTTTTGTGGTACCGTCTAATCTATTATTTCATTCCACTTCAAGACATAATTTGTCAGAAATTCTAAGCCAGAAATGCGCTCTGCAGGTTCTTGAACACTTGGTAAGCACTTTTTGGAATAATGGCTAATTCGCTGCAGACAATTTTTCAAGACTCAGAAGACTTTCTAAGTCGCACCAGTGGATTTGTACGAAATTATTTGCTGTCCTATTTCAGTAGCATTTAGATGAATTAAGCTCGCTTTCTAAACTAATCGCTCAATACAGAAGGCGCTTCAGCGAAATCAAAATAAGCTGTGAACCAGTTCTTCTAAGAATACTAACACTTTGTGAACTGCCATTTCTTTGGCATTCTTCGCAAGACGCTCCTCACGATGCAATGAAACACCTTTTTTCAGAATTCGGTTTGTTTTTCTTTGCTCTTTCTTGAAAGTTAAGGTTATTTATTCGGAGACACCACAAGTGACATTCAAGCTGGCGTTTTGAATGCGGTCAATGCACACCTCCTGAGGTCAAATCAAAGGGTTTTGAGAAAAGCACCACATGTTCCAAACTACTTTATTATGAACGCATTGTATAAGAGTACTTTTACAGCAAGCCTTTATAAGGTACGCCAGATTCTCTTCTATTTGCAAGTCTCTTGCCAACCTTGGTGCCGCAGTGCCCATTGCGCTTAGAATCTTAAGACAATTATTGAGCGAGTTTGGTATGTTTAAAGTATTAACCCATAGTTCGTAGCTGGAGCTGCCAAAATCGTTTCAGACTCCGGAGGACTGTCTACCTTATGTCTAGACGTATCCGGCACGTCTGTTGAGCAACTAATTGACATTTTTGTGCTATTTCTCTCTGCACAAGAGTTGGACGAACAGATCCTAACGACTTCTTTGAATAGGGTGAGAAAGATAATGCTAGTGGCTTAGTTTGTAGAAAGTTTTGGATTTCTTGGTTTTGTATTTGCCCACTGAGCTGGGTCGTTTGAAAACACTTTCTCCAAAAAAGAAGATGGGCCTTCGGAAGGGAGTTCTTTTTAGCATTCTACGATTGGCCACATTAGCTTTTCTGCATAACGCAGAGATGCTGGAGGTGTTTGAGGAAGTGCACATGAAGACGTTGACAGATGAATTACTCGATTTGGTAAACAAAGAACGAAAATCTACCGACATTGACGAAGTACTTTCAGCCATTTTGAGCATTCTCACGTGTATTTTATCATCTAAAAAGACCTTATCAGTAAGGCGTGTTTTGATTGGCCAAACACGACAAAATCGATAGGTACTTAATGGAAGAAAGTTTCTTAAAGTCTGCCTGGACATCGCATGCAATGACTTCCAGTCGAGTTCCCTTCGAAAACATGCATTTTTGTGCCTCTGTTACATTCTCCCACGAATGATGCCGGAGGCGAATAAAGAGTTGGCTGACCAGATCAAACGCTGCCTCGACTGCAGTTTCCAAGGTAACGACACTCAATGTTTGGTGTGCATTGTTAGACAATCAAGATCCACTACGTGATTCTGCGTTCGTTGAGGAAAAAGTCATGCTCTGTCTCTCACTGTCTATGACAAATGACCCAGAAATCCTCAAGGTTAGTATTCATTTCGACATTTAAACAAAAAGCGAAATCAGTAAATCAGTAGCTATTGATTATTTATATCCGATAATCCGTTTTAGATGCTAAGTGACCTTGGAACAATTGAGAACACAGTGAATGTCCTATCACAGGTCAACCGGTCTGACATTAACCTTCTAAGTAACGGCTTATTGACTTTGACGCAACTCTGTGCAGAAAATGCAGAGAGGTGAAGAAAATTATTTAGAAAATAACCTGCTCTAGATGTCGTCGCTTTGGTACAAATGGGTCGAATATGCTCATGCGCATACTTACTGGTCTTTTAAAATACTTTTCCGAATCCGTGAGCCGAAACGACGAATTCCAAAGTCTGATTGGCTATCATCAAACAGGTGAACCAATCAAAGTCGACCCCGATTTTAGTCGATTGGCTGTTTGTGCTGTTGAAGCGGTACGATGGTGCATCTTAGACAGCATCGAAAACAGAATGTACTTTCTACAACAGGGTGGATACACGCAAATACTTAGCCTTCTTGAGGTAACTAGTCTGTTATGAATGGCCTACTGAAATACATTTAAGTACGTAAGCTGTTACAAGGGAAACAAATGAGTGAATGCTTATTTTAGTGTGCACCACTAACGCTCATTGGATCGATAGTTCGTTGTCTGTGCGTCGCCTGCCAGCAGGACGCCTCAGTGGAGTCTGCATTGATCGCTTGGAGAGGTGCACGAAAACCGCCTAAAGTCGGTGTCGACGAATCGATTTTTAGCAAAGACACAACTGCCAACGATGAGATCATGCTGAAACTGAACGAACATCGTCTTGGCACGCAATGTTTACTAGGTGACGTCGAGAGTGACAGGAATAACTTGGCCTCCATCTTATGTCACCTATGGAGGTGCAACATGGAGCGTCTGATTGGTGGTGAGTTGTGGTCAATTTGAAGTTGACCAGCGGGCAGGGAAATTATAAAAGACATCAGACGACGTTCGCAATTCGATTGCCGTTTTTTAGAGATCAATGAACGGCAAATTAACTGGTCCCCTGTGCAAGAACCTGATGAACAATTTGTGCTGATATACTTAATACTGAAAAAATTGGGATTCGAAGAGCATTTTGAGCTAAATACCGAAGATCAAATCACCATGGTTGATATTGAAAACTATCGCGGCAAAAAGGTACGAGTTGTTTCGATAATTTTTGCCAGATTGACGAATCGATTTCGCACATTCAAGATGATCTTCGCGAATCGGGCCTGCGACCAGTCAGTGCTGACAGAAGGCAACTGCAACAGGCAGAAGAAATAGCGAAAATCAGAGGGGAAGGCATTAGGTCGAAGAAAATGGCTATTTTGCGAGCCGCTAATGACGCGGATGCCTGGCTCGAGGCCGAGTGCTGCAACCTGGTAGATTGTTAAAATTACCTGGCTACTTATGCGTTATTACGTAGAACTAATTTTGCGCTTTTTATTTGGAAGACACGAGAATTATCACGGAGGAGAGCGTTGCTGAAGCAGCGTGAATTGGATGCAAGGCTGCGAGATACGAGCATCGCGTATCTACGTGCATCAAAAGCAAACAAGCACGATGCGATTGCAGCGTCAATGTTGACGATTCAAAACGAGAAATCTGCTCATGATTTGGAAAACACAAAACAATTTTTGCAAATCGAACAGTCGTGTTCAGAAGTAGAATGCGAAGAGCACATGCTCGAATAAAAACCCACGTCTTGCACTGAAATTTTGTGTTGTATGACTTCGAATCTGGCACGCCTAGCCAATGACATGACAGTTAGCATCGACCTATCAACGGTTTGGAATTAAAAACTATTTAATCAAAAACCAATGTTCTCTAACATGTTTAATTAAGCAACACTAGAAATAAATCTAAGGTTGCCACGGGACGCAAATTCGAGCATTCGTACATTGATAAATTGGCTACACAATTATCAGCAAGGGATTCGAATCTGTGCATCGCATTAATAACAAAAAAAGCAGTTTACGCAAGAGACAAAACGCTAAAACTTCTACAGTGCGCAATTTAGAAAAAAAAAGTTTGATCATCGCTAGGATGTATTAGTCAATCGAAAATTCCCGTCTTTTTAAGTACTCAGGAATTAGCAGAACACATGGGAGTCATTGCTAAAAGGTTTAGTCTAATTAACACAATTAACTTTGTTGCACTTGGTAATCCCCATTATCTAGATGCGGCTCTTTTTGTACAAAAGTTGAGTAAGAACCCAATAACGAAGATAATAAAATTAATTAATCGCACCAAAAACTACAACAGATAATTAACGCACTTAAACACAAAATAAGGTCAAGCACCAGACTGACAAAACGACTAACTATTTATCCGTTAAATAGGTAAATAAACTGCTTTTTTTTTCTTTGCTTTTTTTATCTACCCCCAAAACGCGTTGATTGGAGCAGAACAAGTAGCACAAGTATAATTCGCCTTTACTGGGTACCAAAATATGTGATTGTCTAGTCAATTACATACACTAATTGTTTTTTGTTGCAAATCACAGCTAGTTGACGCAAGTTCTACGCAAGTAGTACTGTACAAAGGAGTAGTGACGGTGTCTGCGGTGATTCGTGACTGTTGCATGCCTGCGTTTCTAGGCGGTTTGCAATACTGTAGGTGCAGAGGTAGTAGTAGTAGTTGTTGTTGGTGTTGTTGTGTCAGTTGGTTGCACTCCGATTGGTTCCCGTGGCTACGTGCTGTTGCTGCTCCACGATCGACTTGATGATGTAGGTGAGGACCAGACCGAGAATCGCAAGCACCGCGAGCAGCGTCACGAGTCGTGCTAGGCGGTGGTTCTCGATGAGGTTCGAGTACTCCCCGCGGCCGCCTCGAACATCACCAGCACCACGCAGTACGCGACCGCGTCTTCCAGCAGCGCCGAAGACGTCGCCTCTGCCGCCACCGCCTCCTCCTCTACCGCCTCTGCCGTCGCAACAGGCCGCGCAACAGCACAGCACTTCCATCAGCACCACTCGATGGTCGGTTGAGTACTCGCTGGCAATGTCCACGGGCACATCGGAGTGCTCAGCGCCGGGGTCAGACGTCGCGCTGGTGAGGTCCGCTGAAAGCCGATTGGCTGAGAGGAGGAAGGAGGAGAAGCGCGTGAAACGACGTCCACTGTCGACGGCCTCACCACCTGGTCTGACAACGCCATTGGCTGGCAGGCTGGGTTTGCGAGGCGTGGAACCACTTCCATCGTCGGCACTCCTCTGGTTGCCACGGAGTGACGCGAGCATCAGCGTGGGTCGTAGGGACATGCGGTTTTGTCGTTCTACAGTTCACACAACAACAACGACCACAGTCCTTTACCAGCTGAACAGCCAATCAAAACGCAGTTCCTTTAGCAAACTGACCTTGAGCAATTTTGACTCCACCACCGCCGCCGACACCACTCTTCTCCTCAACCTTCTCCTGGCGATGAAGGATACTGGGCCTGCGTGGGGCGGTAGTGGTGGAAACGGCGTTTCCAGTTGAGCTCGCTTTCATCAGACTCGCGAGCGACCGTCGAGGTTCTTGCCTGTCTGGCAAGTTCATACTGACGCTGGCGGCAGCCACGATTATGTCGGTGTTGGGTTTGGGTTGGGGAGGGGGCGCGGGTGAAGATTTCCGTTTGGGAGGGTGGAAGACGCCGGAAATGTGGTTGGTGGCGACAACGTCAGGCCTCTTTTTGACCTCCTCGCCTGGTGCAATGCTGGAGCAGTCAGTCGGGGCGTTGTCAGGCTACATCCCGCCACAATCAAAGTCACAATTTAAAACAAAGCAACTTTGCAAAAAACAACACCAAGCACGATGCGCACCTTGTCGTTATGCTCCCCAACGCCACCCGTCTCGTTTAACGGTCCACCTACCGCGGTTTCCATGGTTTCGCTCAAGGCCACATTCTGTGTGGATGCTGTTGACGTCGCGGCAGAACGGAATCGAACGCGTCGAGAGTGAGCTGAGGTGTTGGCGGTGGGGAAGTACGTGGTCTCCTGGGGTTTAGGGTCGGACCCTGGGGTTCTGGAGGGGTTGGCATCGGTGGCCGCCGAGTCGGTGGACGAGGAACATCGACACTCAAAACGCCCCTCCGACGTCTGAGGGGGTGGTATCCGTGGGCTGGGCAGTGGACTGAGTACCTGTAGGGGCATCTGCACTCCAAGCTATGGGGATTCGGATTTAAAAGTAGGTCACTGTCAAATGGAGCACAAACGCGCAATTGGTGAAATGCATCGATTTTTCGCTTTACCACCATCGAAACCCGCTGCTTTTTTTCAGACTTTGTCAGTGCTCGAAAATTCGCTACATGCTGAACCAATTTTGTCGGAATTTGGCATCACGCAAGTGAAGTCTCCAATTCAGTTGCGATTCCCACCAAACGAGAGCACAGCAAAACCCACGTGGGTTTTTATTAAATGGACAGTTTTACTAACACGAAACGATTGTTTCCAGGCTTGACCCACCTACACGACAACTTAATGGGAATAACTGGCTTTGAGTTTAATTGCGTGACTGAATTTGTGCAGGTGGCAGCCGATTTTCAGATCTCCCCAACTCCGAGCTGAAATTTCCAAATTTAAGTAACTTTTTTTAAGCACTTCTGGTAAATACTTCAATTTCTGACTTTTATCTCAACCGCTTTAAATTAACCGAATCAACAAATTTTTATCAATGTTTTATTTAATGTGGCGTTAAAATAAATGCAAGAATCAAACCACTTTTAGACAACATTCCATTTGTTTAAATCATTTGCTTCTGTAGGCGCCATGTTGACAGAATAAAAGAATTAACGTTTTAATAAAATGAAAATAAACTAAAAATGATAAATAAAATTTGATGAAATTTGCCAATAAGAAACGCAAACGTCCCCACAAAACCTGAATCCGACAAATTGTTCATTCCTGCATTTTTGTGTTGTACAGGAGCATAGTACTTTTTTTTTCCTAATTTCTCAAATAAGACGTGCTACATTTTCGTGCCTTGTAACAAATAATTGTCAAATTTGCAGCCCCTTTAGTATGTCTGGAGCAGCACGAAATTCTCGATTCGCTTGGACTGCCATACAGAATGCCCCAGAGACCGCAGTATTTTCTACATCAGAAATATTTGCCGGCGGTGAGCAGCGTCGGTGGGCAAGCACGTCTTCGATTGGCGGCGCCACAAACCATTTAAAACAAAGTTGACCTTGACGAGTTGGACTGCTGTAGAGACGCGTAAAAGTGACTCATGGTGTGTCTCAAATATCACGAAATTACTAAAGCTAGGTCCCAATTTTCATGTGGATGTGAATTACTCCCTAGGCAACCAACATCAACTCGTGCACATGTTGTGTGATTCGTTTGTTTTAATTGTGTTAAAAGCGATGCATTAGACATCAAAATGGATTAGATGATTAGTGGACATGGAAAATTGTCTGTGAATCACAGCGTATCAAGAAGTAAAGGGCTCGGGGCATCGATTTAAAAATGATAAAAACACTGATTTCTGCGAAGAAATGCCGCGTTTAAAGCAGTCTCAAATGATTCCTATTTGTTGGCCAGAATTGGACAGAGTTGGAGTCGTTGATTCTCCACCAATCACGCACGAGTAATTGCGACTAAGTAGTGCAAGCAGGGAGACTGGCAGAGCTTTGGATTAGCAAAGCAGGTTAAGGCGGTTGACTGTGTGGTTTCGGTAGTGTGAGTGAAAATCACGACTTTTTATCCCACTTAACTCGCATCTATTGGCCATTTTTTACCAGTAGCAAGTTTGTGTGTACTTCTTATTTGCACAAATAACCTCGCTACATTTGCGTCATTGTGACCCTTCCACGTGCTTAATGCGCACTCTGCAAGTACAATTAACTGGAGTTAGGACAAGCCCTTCAACTTAAAGCCCCGATTCGCTTGATTGACTAACCGCGGTTATTCACAGTCCAATCCAAAAGGCTCCAAACAACCCTCTGGTGGTCAATTGTGTTTTGAGGACGGGTGTAGCTGCACACCCGCCCTCCCCACTCCCCCCTTCAATTTTTGTGGTGGGGTGGGCGTGCAAAGTAGAAAGTAATTTTTTGCCTTAGGCGTAGTCCCACTTAGTTGCACGAGGGCTAAAATTCGGATTTGGGAGGAGTGTGGGGCGTGTTTGTCCCGTAAATTACTCCTGGCAAGTCAATCTGTGCCCTTCGTCCTGTAACCATGACAACGTGCTTTCCACTCGGTCAATAAAATCAGATGGAGAGAGCGAGAGAGAGAGGGGGAGGGAGAGGCAGAGAGAGGGAGGCAGGGAGAGAGGGAGGCAGAAGTAAACCTTGACGCATTATCAAAAATGATTCTGGAAAATGATTAGATACGGGTTTGCAGTGTAGTTCTTCACCGTACGAAGCTCCAAACGTCTTGATTTTTTTGCCGTCATATTGCAGGGGTCATATTCTGACCAATCCTAGCTTAACCTTGAAAATGCCAATGAATTTGACCCAATGACTGCATCCTTACAACTGAGTTCTTGCAGAATTTTAACAATGAGATTCAATGGTGAACTTATGCGACTGGTTGCATGAAAAATGTGCCAAAATGACTAAGCACAACTAGGGGATTGGTTTAAATAAGGCGAATTTCCGTTGGCGCAATTTTCACCGTGGAAATCTAACCCGAATCCTCGGACGAGCCTCGACCAATCAGATTTCGACGTCAGCCACTGCCCCTGGCAATAATTCAAGCCCACTGGTAGCTAGGCCTACTCAAGGTGCTGCTGCTCCCCATCGTACATTTCTCTCCCCCCGTGTTTTCTCTGTAATTAAATCTTTTCTCTTGCCTCGCATTTCCAGCCCAAACGGTGGTCTCTGGTGGTGCTGCGTACTCACCAACGAGGCAGAATTGAATGTGTGTGTGTGTGTGTGCGTGTGTTGAAGTTAGGCAAGCGGAAGTGAGGTGTCACCAGGGGAGAACAGGGTTTTGGCATACACAGAATTACGCCCATCCACGGCTATTAGGTCTGGCTGACAATGGGCCTTTCCCAGGCAGAGAATTGGTGTAACCATGGCAACCACGGGTCCTGAACAAGACGAAATCCCAACCCACCCCACCCCCCTCGGTGGTTGGGTGCTTGTTCGTGCCCGTTTTTGGAAAGGTACACCGTGGTCTCTGAATGCCCCCATTTCTCCGTACTTTGCAATTCACGAGAAGTTGGCTAATTCAAATAACGAACGCGATTTAAACAAAAACACGCGCCGAGTCAAAAATAACGATGCGAATCGATGCTACACCAACGTCACTGCACCCATGAAGCTGAAGTTTACGCAAACTATTGTAATGCGCGCGGTTACCGTCACGCGTTGAGAAAATCCATGGAGCATTTAAACAAGCGTATGCAGCATTTCAGACGGTATTCTAAACTGTTCACAAAGTTAAAAAAAAGGTTTCTTAACCTGCGCCATCATCAAGGCAAAATCAACAATCTTCTGGCATAAATCATGCAAAATAATCCCGTTCTACTAACCGGTCTACTGGCCATTACAGCCCACTGCGCAATAACTCATTGCTATGGGGACTGGTACAACAAAGACGGCCTTAAAAGAGGTCCATCTGATTGCATTTCGGTAATCCTAACCACTACTTTCTGGTGAATGGAGTCTGCCTAATTATGAAAAGGCATTGTCCGTGACGCCAACGTTGCCGTTTTGTAGTAATGTTAGGCGATGTAGCCAAACTCGGACAAATCAACAAGGATACCCGAACAATATGAATTAATTCCAATTACGTGGCCGAGTAATCGTGTTTTTCAATGACAAAGTTACCCCGATTTTGCACAAGGTGACCCCATTTTGGCTAAAAAATCGGTTGAGTGAAGTTTTCACAGACCGCGGGAAAATTTGAAGTGCGCGGTGGGCAGGTATTTGCACGCATCGATTTAAACAAGCAAAAAGAAACCAGATTTTCATGCCAAGAAAAGCCTCGGAGCAGGATTAACCCCGGGTAATTAGTGGGCGCAATTACTACTCTCGGCCCTAGACCACAGAATGCCAGTCAGACCAATCGCAGTTTTACGGCGGTTTGGCAGAAAATCCAACAGTTTCCTTTTCCTGTTGGCCTTGGCAACTTAGTACACGTCGTTTATTCACCGCAGCGCATCCAGCGATGCACAAATGTTGGCTAAAAACTCGTGACAAAACGATATTTCCGTGAAGTCTTCGACATCTCAATGTACATGAGTAATTTTGGCGTCGGATCACCAGATATTATGTTCGAATGCCATTTGAGGGGGCGTAAAGTCCCTTCTTTACCTAATTAAAGGTCACATGCACTCCTGCTTCCACGATTAAAGATGCCTTGCATTACTGCTTCTGTAATTTCCAATGCATCAATTAGCCAGCACGTACTTTCTTTTGATTGGTTAGGTGCAGCCCAGTTCTAGAAGCTCATTGGTCAGTTTGCACAAAACCTTTATTTGATTGGGTTCGAGTGAATTCATGTGGGTTTTAATGTCGAGGAAAGCATTTATGTCAGACGATTTCTCCAATAAAATTTCGTTTCATAAATTTGGAGCGTTTGAATCAAGACCTCCAAAGCCTGGCTGACTGCGCATTTGAAAAAAAGACGACTATACTGGAAGAATTTGCAGATTTGTTCGAGAAAGGCTAAACTATGCTCCTACCTCTCAGATGGCATTAGTTACCGTGCCAAAAACCAGAGGTATCAATTTAAGTTGACCATTTTACGATTTAGAGCAAATATGTGGCAGGTATTTAAAACAATGCGCATCACAATCGGCGTGGTTATTCTGAATCTATAGACAGTTAGACTGGTTGTGTTTCAGGTCAAAGTGGAGGTCCGATTTTGAGAAAACCTCACGGGGAAATGAAGCGAAACGTAACCAATCAGTTTGGTCTGTTTCGTAGAGGTCAAGGTCGCGTAGACACCCTTGGACGGAGGATCGACCACCGATGGGAAATAAACGCCCTTTTTGCGGGTGTGTTTTACATCCATCCACACGTTATGCGTACACACTCATGGGAATGCATTTGGTTTTGTGTGAAAATGCTCTACTTATGAATTTCGTGTTAACTGAAACTAATCCCGGGAAAAGTTGCAGGCTTAAAGTCGAAATACGACTATTTAGCACAGCAACCAATCAACTCGAAGAAAGTGTCGACTATCACGTGCTTAGCATTTTCTTTTAAACAAAATTAGATGGCTAAATAGCTTTCCCTAATTTGAATCGCCAGTGTGAAGGAAGAATTTCTGTTTTAACCAATCAGGAATACTGCTTAACACGATTATTCGCTGGCGTGTGTTGCAGCAGCCAATCAAAATGACATCAATTGGAAGTTAATCGACTGCGAAATTGGCCTTGGCTTTCGCAAACTAGGGCTCTGCGTTATTGGCCCTGTTCCAGACCCTGGAACTGGTGTGTAGGGAAACCTTTTATGCTCAAGTAATAATACTGGATTTTGGTTGGACAATAAAAATTGCAACAGGGGTGCGGTGTGACTCCTCCTGAAACGCGGCAAATTTTCCTCTAAACAGGACAGGCCGTGTGTTTTGCAAAAGCCACTTTCTGAAATGACAGGCTTAATTTAATTTAAATACATGTATTTTCGAAGTTTCAAGTCACTTAACTTGGTGTAGATTACTCACACACTATTTGAGCAATTGTGACTCACCAGAGAGACATTATAATCCGGCGGATTGAGGTGTTGGAATGCTAGGGGGCCGGGCGGCGGTGGACAGATTTGGACGGGCTGTGGTCTGAAGCGCTGTCCAACCTCGACTGCTACCATCCCGGGGTGACTTGAGCGACTAGACGACGCCTGGTGGTCTAGACCATGGCGGCAACGCTTGCCCCTACTCTGCATTTCCCTCTGTGAGTCAGTAGCCCATCGTCAGTATGATGTTTCCTCGTCTTCGCCATCATAAATCTGGCTTCTGGCCTCATCTGGCATAAGGTTTACCTCGCGTCGACATTCGACGGATTTTTGCTTTTTTTTCCCACTCAAGCGAAGAGCAACACCCGTGAAAGCGATTATAATGTTGATACTGTCGACGATAATTATAAACTTACATGCCCGTTCGTGCGCGCTGCCATTGAAGTCGCGTGCTCACGCGTTAGCTCTTCCGCGACGCCGATTGGCTGCACGTGCCCTGAGCTCCGCTCAGATGTTAATGATTGGCGTGACGAAAGAGCGAATTGTGTGTGCGTGTGTTTGGAGTTATCCGTGTATTTGCCCGCTAGGTTTGTGCGTGCTAAAACCCCAATGAGTCGGCTGTTTTTCCAACAACGTTCACGTGCTTCGGTTGGCTGAATCTGCTCTCAGGTCATGCAAACATTTAAAAAGCAGTATTGACCCAGATTTGGTAGTCTCTTCAGAAAATAGCGGGTTTTTCAAATGGTTATCCCATTTAAAAAAACAAAATTGGTTTAAACGATAATGTTTTTTTAAATTACTTTGTGATAAACCGTTTCTACACAATTTGAGGAGCACAAAAACCAGGCAATTAGCATCGCCAAGCGAGTACAGGCTAATTTATGGAACTGCATGATTAATTTATCTGTTTGCCTATTTGCCGTCATGAAAGCAGGCCAGAAGGCATTATCCTTGCAAATAAATGTTTTTTTTTCAGGCACGACCAGCTAAATTTTTATTGGTGCAAAAACAAATTTGTATGTGAATAATATTTCGCATTTTCAAATTTGTGTTTTCCCGCTCTGTCAATATTTGTTAATTATTCTACGAAAGTTCACTTATTTTTACCTGTTAGCCATAAAAAAAAACTTTTCTGATTAATTGGTGACCATTAAAGCTAGCAAAAAAATTTACCTACACTTTCAACGAAATATCATTTGCTTCCTGTAATTAACTAGATTTCGGCTTGCCGTTTCTTCGCTAAATGGCCGGAAAATGAGATGGTTTGGTATATAATCATCATTTTAATCACCAATTCAATTTCGACCCCGGCTCGAAAACTACAGTTGACTAAGGAAATTCATGCTTAGTTTTTGACCAATTTTCTTCGATCACCTTTTTGTTGAATTCGGATTTTAACCACAATGCGTGCTTCCGCTCTGCGAAATTTTTAGTCAAAATGGCTTGGTTTAGTTGTTAAGACTCAGTATTGTATTCATAGGTTAACCACACGAGCTTGATTCTGAACTTTGATTGGCTGATGAGCTGGGCGACATGATTTTCATTGGCTTTGACTTTGACCAGTTACAACCTTCGACCTTGACTATTTCAAACCCGACTGGATACTCGATCATCACGGAATTAGCCGAATCGAAGCTGCAGATAACGCCAAGGCGTTCGCTCTTATTACATTTCTTTTGCATTGAAAGTGAGTACTTCGCTATGTCCATGCGTTCAAGTTAATTTGAACGGCCCCAATCAGTGCGAAGATAGCGTGAAGGCGTATCTATGTGTGATTATTGTAAAAAAGAAATATCGTCTTAAATTGCAAACTTAGTTTTGTTTGTTTGCTGCTCCGGGCTTATCTACATCAAGTCGCTTAGGCAATCGTCAACGTCTGACAGACAGCCTGACCTTGAACTGCCCAATCACGACAAACCTCTGACGTGTGACCTTGCAAAACAGTCTACCACAGTATCTTGCTCACCCAAGAGTGATCAACCAATGCGAGTTTCCACGAGAAAAGTACACAAACATGCACTCCGAGATTGCCGGTTTGTTAAACACATCTCACGCGGAAGGGAATTTATGACTATTCAAAACAAAAGAGGCATTTGCTGGAACACAGAGCCTTCCCACTACACAATTGTGTGAGAAATAGCACACATGATTCATGAGATCGCTTTTGATTCCCATGATAAAACACACACAAACACACACACAAATGTACCGAGACATAACACACCAGTAACAGCATCATTGATGCCTGTAGCACAAATACATTGCAGTGAGAAGCATCAGATTTGTCTTCTTAAAAAGACAATTTCACCAATCATTCCCAAATGCACTTTACAAATATTCTTGGAAAGGTAGGTGACTGTTATTCCATCCGCAGACTCCGCTTCATTGATCGGTTATTTCGACCTACGTTGAAAAAAAAGTTAAAACAAATTTGGGCAAAAATTGTTTAAAAAAATGGTTTGTGCAATTTTACACCTTGGCTGTACGTGTAATCGATAGCTGTTTAGTTTAGGAATTCGAAAATTTCCCCCTTTAAATATCTCAGCCAATAAAAATTCGAGCTAGCACTGTCGAATTTTGATTGGTTAGGAAACTCGACAGCAAAGGCTTGCGTTAATCCACCTACCTCGCTGGAAGAGTCTTCTGCGGACGGCGATAGTTGCGTGGTACCCTCTTGTCGAAGCAGGCCACGAGCTGCCTAAATGAGAGTCAACACGACGGTGACGGAATTGTGTCTAGCGCGCATACTGAGCGTCTATTATCTACACTAGCTGATTGGTGGGATCAGTGACCCTGAGGAACTCGACACTCATTGGTGAACTCAGATTGGTATATCAGCTCAACAAGCGAGCACTGTGAATAACTCAGACCGGGGAAATAATGGCTCTCAAACCTACAGGAATGGTGTGTGCAAGGCTGCCACCAACCGCATAACTCGCGTCCATTGGAAAGAATAACTGTCCTGATTGGGTGGAAGTCTGCATCTCCTGGTGGTGGTATTGAGACTGCTGGAACGACGACTCATCGTATCCACCCACCGTCTGCTGCGAATACTGATCAGGAAAGGGGTTGCTGAGAAGACTGGCGACAGCGGGAAGTGAGAAAAGCAGGGGATCGGTCTCCAGCTGGCCCATGGCAAGTCGACGGTTGACCTGATCGATGACAGCGAGATCGTCGTCTTCGTCGCTGGGTCGAATCACCAACTTCGAGCCACAGGGGTAGGAGGTCATGTGGAAGGATGGAAGAGGCTGTCGGGAGAAGTGAAATTGGTGGGGGTTGCAGTAGTTCAAGGGCGACTCGTCATCACCCGACGGCACCTGCGTTGGAGATTCCGCCATAGCTTCTGGAAGCGATGGTGAAGGCGTCGGATCCGGCGGTGTTACCGTGAAATTTGGCCTTCACGACGAACACAGGTGATGGCTAATGACATGCGCGTGCTCAGAAACCAATGTGAGGCGGTAACTCACGGGATTGGTTGAGGTTGGGGCTGAAGTGGAACCTGTTCGGACGGAAGAGTTTGTGGGTTCAGGGGATCTAGGCTGTAGCCGGGTATCGAGCTCTGACCAATGGTTGAGGGCGCGACCTTTACACTGCGAGCGTCTGTTAGTGCTTCAACGGCTTGCCTGGAAGCAGCACTGACGGTCGTCAGCCATTCATGAAATGACTAAAAGCAATCACAAATTGTAAAATTGCGTTGATTCACTCTCGCTAATCCGGTCGCTCCAGCCTCCGACACAGTGTTCCCCTTTTCGCAGCATGTCGCCAGCCGCGCGGATCCTCAACTCCCCCCTCATTCGCTCGAATATTTATCTCGGAGTATCCCCACACTTGGGTCTCGATGTTAACGCATCGATGACTCACACACCAGAGGTATAAATACACACGCTCAAACCCCTTCAAACACGACAAAACGACACCATCGTGGTTGAGCTCTAAAGTAAACGGTTGTGTCCACGTCCTCTCCGGTCTTTTTTTTCATCGCAGGCATCAGGCAAGCGTAAGGGGGCCAGGGTTAATTCCGTGGCCCCGGCGTGGTTCAAGACCACATGCTGGGGCTCACAGCAAACACCTTTTGAGAAGTCGATCGGCAAATGTGCAAACCAACTTCAAATATGCCTTGTTAGCGATTTTGCGCTTTGATTAGCCGCCGATCCACTAAATGCTGGAATGCTGAACTGGAATAGAATTTGGTAAATTTAAACAAACTTGCCTTTCGACACGGACTTGTGGCGCTTGCTGAACTCCACGAGGTCCTGAGTGGATCAACATGTTGTCGACGTCTTCCACGTCCATCTCCCGATGAAGGCGACTTCTTGCCACTGCTGGAAGCCTTCACACAGTGAGCTGAGGTTGGCGTGGCTTCAACATTCATGGATGTTGTGTCCATGGGGGTGTGGTGGACGTCGACTAGACCAGCTGTCTCATCGCCAGAGTGGACTTGAGTCCTAGAACGAAGGATCAACTAATCGATCGATTCAAATACAGCCATGCTAGCAAGATGTGACCTTGGGATACCCAATCACGTGTAAGCGTCTCGATTGGCGCTTATTTGAACACACCGAGCACTCAATAAGGATCGTGTTATTGTAAGGCTTCACTTTAGCTATGCTAGGAAAAGGCGGAAATTGGTAGAATTACACGTGTACTACGGATACACATAAACAAACTGTTTCACTGAACAACCGCTATCGTTTACAACTTCCGTTTCTGCTTGGAGTAAATGATTAATATGACGAGAGCGGAATTTCCAATTAGGTAGCCCTACATCTGCCAAATATGGCAACTGATTACTGAATTTCGGAGTTAATACCCATCTCTACGTTTACTTCGGCCGTTTCATGAACTCTTCCTCCATTGGTTGATTCGCTTCCAGCCAATCACAAAACTTGATTGCTTAGTTATGGAGAAATAATCTTTAACCAAAGGTTCTAAAGTGAACTCATATGCATCTGGAAGGTATCTGGATTCTGCAGCAGTCATGACTTAATTTTACTGTTTGGACACTTTAGAATGACAGATTTTGATCGTATTTTTTTTAAACATTCTCACAGAATGTTGGACAAATTTTGCGGAAATTGCCGATTTACACTGATGAACGCATGTAGAGATTTTTTCGAGGTCATTTCGCGTTCTAGTTGGCTGCTGCGTGAAATTAACTATTTCTCAAATTTCCACGCGGAGTTGTAAATTACGCTGACTCAGCAGCTTAGGAAGTTTTTGAATTGCGACATCTGTGGGACAATTTTCTGACGACGTGAATGGCTAATTTATTACTTTTGCAAAATTACAACGCCAAATTTAAATTTCTATCATATACCAACAATTAGGGTGTGCACACTATTTCAAATGGGCCGCTCACTTTCCTGGACTTCAAAAAAAAACAAAAATAGCTTTTTTCAACGTTTGAGTGATGTAATCTGTCTTCCGTTGCACTTCTTAAGGACAAATGTTACATCGTGAATGTTAGTTGCAGGTATTTAGTAGTTGAAAGTTCCTATTTCCAAGCGGTGGGCAAAATGAGCAAGCATAAATATTACGAAAATTGAATTGGTCACGCGCGTAATTTGCAAATTCTGCATTTTTCGCAATTACGCTCTCCGTACAAACCAGGCATAATGCTCAAATCACCCGCGTCCATCCCATTGGCTCAATCTGATTAGTGGTCTAGGTCATCTAAAGCTTAAGCAACGACTTGAATCCGTGTCTCTGGAGGGGCGATTGGAAATAGGGCGTTAGCAACTAACCATGCCAAAGATGGGTGTTTACTGGGAAATCACGAACGTAGAGTGTGTGTGTGTGTGCGTGTGTTGGTGTCTGCATTGACAAATTTATGACTGCTTTCAAACCAGACAATTAATTGCCCTCTTCCATTACAAGTATAACCGGTCTGACTAAGGAATTCCGTCGCTAACACCGCCAACATCCCTTGCTTGAGTGTCTACAATGTCTCACAATTTACTTCGTAACGCTATTGGTTCGATTGAAGGACACACGGCCATTGGTTACCCTGCCTTTGTCTGAGAACTCACAGGCTAGGTACCTCAAAAATAAAAGAGTTGACAGGGGTTGTGAGCGGAAAACTTCCTAGTCGACACTGGAATCTTTAGCGAGCCGCCTTCAATAGGTGGAAACTGTCGAAAGCTTTTTTCACTTGCAAGCATTCTACTCCAAATTGAAATATGTGCACTGTCTTGAAGCGTTTCACCAAAAAATGTTCTTTTTTTGAACCAGAACTAGTGACTCAGCAATTTTGAGGTTGGAAGATGAAGCGAGCGATGACTCACGAGGTAGGATCGACAATGACAGGCTGCATGCTGGTTGGGTCGCATCCCTTCATGTCAGTCCACGACACCTGTGACTTGCTCCGAGGAAGAGTTTGGCGCAGACGTGGGCCTGCCGTGAGTTTTTCATTCCACGACGAGTGTGGTCGGAATGGGTTCGCCACACCGACGTCCTTGCTAGGCCGCTTCACAGCCGTCGGCCCTAGTTCCTTTTAAAATGCATAAAAATTAACATTTACAGGTCAGTCTGGTCTGCGCTCGTTGTTTTTTTTTTCCAAATTTCTCGTAGCACAGGCAGTTCGATCTGAAAATTCGGTGGACTACTTAATTGCTTATAAGTAGAAGAGACTCACGGAAGTGATGTCAATTCGTGAGGCAGCAGCTGACCTGTCGGAGGACTCTGCCTTGGCAAGTGAGTGCTGGCTGTCCACGCGGCAGATTGTGAGGCGTTTGGGTGATTTCTGCTGAAGATGCGCAAACGGAACGCTTCCAGCTCTAGAAGTGTCACCTACGGTTGCAATAAAAGAAAGGCAAGATCAGTGGATTTACCGAAGCATTCAACACACTCCAGAACTAAATAGAATGGATTTATCAATGCGCAGGAAGCGATATCGTCTGATCTAGTTGGATCAGGATCTGCGGGCAGAAGGAACTCACCGGTGCCTTCAAGTTGGACGGCCTTCGGAACATTGGCACTTGCGCTAGCTCGCAACTCCTGTCGCTTTACCTGCGACAATGCCTCCAGCTGATCCCTTGTCTCGTAGCTCAACCATCGCGAGAAGGTGTTCCGTCGAAGCGGATTCCCGTAGGTCTGTCACAAAATGTGAGCGAAAACTCATTAATCCACGTCTCTAGTTGGCGCCAAAACGCGGTAAGTTAAACAAAAATTCAAAATCTCAGTACAGCCGCCCTAAACTCAGTTGTGGAAAGTAGGGACTTAATTGAAAAAAAGAAGGGAATCACATAAGACAGTATCTCCTCTTATTGTTGTTTCAATGTTCCGCCAGTTACCTTGGTTACTTGTGCAGCAGCATCTTAAGAAAAGAGACTTAATTTAAACAAAAATTGAATAATCATAAATGTCAACACTCTAGTTGTGTTTTCAAATAAAGGAGATTAACATTTTTGTGGAGTGTAAGATAGAGCTTTCTGAAATTAATTCGTGTTAAAAATGAGCTTAACGTTTCAGGATAAGGCAAAACAATTACAGATTTGACAATTCCACTATGACTGCGGCAGGTAGTGAATAAGGGGTTTGTATTTGCGCATTGTATACTACTTTTCTTAGGGAGTAATATCTGAAAACAAACTGTTCGGATGCATATTTTGGCGGTTATACAACTAACACCGTTGTAATGATGGCCTAAATAGATAGGAGACAAATTTGACTTTAAAAATTTTGAACTTGTTCATGACTATAATTACGTAGTAATTCGAGTTGATTATACGTCCACCACCACCACCACCACCACCGCCACCGCCACCGCCACCAAGGCAGCGTAATCTGACGAGATTAAGTCAACATGCCTGGGCCGTCTATAACTACTTGTCACACCAGATACACGTGGACGATCCTAATGCCTCTCCAGCCAATCAGCTTTCTCTGCATTCTGACTGGCCAAGTGCAAGTACCTGAGCAAGTCGTTGGTTCCAGAGGCGCAGCTGTGTGGCCTCAGAGCCTCGGCGTATTCCCGGAGCCGTGTAGCCCTCTGTGGGCTTCGACTGGACCCATTCTGCCCCCTGTGGACCCAGGAAACTGGCGGTTCCCCGATGAAAAAGGGAGAGTTTAAACGCGTTGATCGATTCCAGAGTTATTTTCCTCGGATTTTCGGCCAGAAAGGCTTCCAGGATTCGATCGCAGCAGCAGACGTACTTCTTACCGATTTCTGATTGGATAGAAAGGAAAAATTATCGATTTTGTACAAACAAATTCTCGAAGACGTACATCATTTTTTCCATAACATTGATAAGAGTCGTCTCTTTGTTCATTCTGTGAACCAAAATGTCATGTCAAACAAAACGGGTTTGGAAGACATTGGTTTAGTATTTAGCCAATTAGGAAGAAGGTACACGTCTGATTACGTCATAAGAGCAATAACACGATAATATCCAACTTGGAGGTTACCTATTATGAAAGATATTCCGACTGATCAACCCTAATATACATGTTTCTTCCCAAACTGATTCTTCAATCTGAATTAAACTTAACACAATCCGACCAATCATAGGTGACGCATTGGGTTAAATGTGCAGCCATTGCGAGAACGCGGGTCACGTGATTGGGCAAAATGCAAACGCTTACTCTTCTCAGCCGTAAGATGATCCAGCAGCATTGGAGCCTGCCTTGAGGGCAATGAGTACCGCTTTTGCGTCGAGACGATGGGCTCGCAGCCCACCAATGAGGGCTGATGCGGCAGACGCGCTCTCGAGGCTTCATCGGCCGTCGATGGAACACCTGGTGTTTCTTTGGGTCCAAGCGTGGAAGAACTGAGGCCGGCGACATTGCAGGCAACCTTGGACATGAGTTCGCCTGCCTCAGGAGACACGTGGTCTTCGAAGGAGACGGCCATGGACGGAGGCATCGTGAATGAGGTCAGCGTATTCGCTATGGCCTGACCTCCTGGAAGCGACGTATCCTCGTTGGGGTTGTACTAAAGCAAAGACACTGACTCCCACCAAACAAGCCACCTCTACGGATTCCGATTCAGCGTATATTTAAAGCTCACCTCGCTTCTGTAGTTCGCCTGCTCAGGATAACTCCCGCCGACCAGGGGATACTGCCGATGGAGTGTAGGCATGTCCGCAGCCCCGTCAGATGAGCGTCGAGGAAAACTCGAAGAATCTGCGAGCATTAACCAATTTGAAAAAAATTCACCAATCACCTACTGTGGATGTTTCAGACGAGATGAGGAGCTCTGCGGTACAACTTACGCGGTGTCATGAATTCCGGTGGGGCGAGCAAGTTGGGATCCTTGACGGTGAACCGCGCGACCGGCTGATGACTCATCGAGGGGATGCAAGCGGGCAGGTCGAGTTGGGGCAGGGGTTCACCAGCCGTGCGGTGGGGCAGTGTTTCCCAGCATTCCTCGGTCATGTTGGCGGCAAATAGTGGAGGAGAGGGTTTGGAGAAGATTGAGAAGCTTGGACTCCCCGTCAAGGGCTAGATTGATAAAAAAACCAACGAGACACAGAAGGCGTAAAGTGTCCGAGATGCTAATCATGGTGGTGAAACGTACCTGCGTGCTTTCAGACAAATCACCCAATGTGTGGTCCTGAGGGTATTCGGCTACAGAGGAAAGCGGAAACCCCTTAGAACTCGTGATTTTGGGTGTGTACTTTAGACGCAGACAGAGAATTTAAAAGTCCACAACTTACCCGTTGTGACGCTGATTTGAAGGTTCATTCCGGGTTGAGGTGATTGGTCAGGAGGCAGCGTGTTGGCGGCTTCTTGGCCCAAATCCAGCGAGAATTCTTTGACATCGGCGATCTTGAGCTTGGCAGTGGCGTCCGACCTGTTGGCCAGCGGTAGCCAATCAAACTCACTCTAAGTTTGGATAAATCGATTGTTTTAGAACACCGTTCAACCAGGACGCGTAGTGATTGGCTGCCAGAATGGTGTCATTTGGGCAAGCAAGACGCTTCATCAATGATTTTTTTTCAATACTTTGTCGAAATACATGACCTTGCGTGGTCACTATGGCCAATTTCGTGCAATATTTGTGTTTTCAATTGTGTAAATAATTAGCATAAGTTCACAATTCGACGTTTATGGGAAAAATCAACTTTTTTGGCCCGAAATCACCCCCTTACAGAAATGGTGTCAAATGAAGTGAAACATAGCTTGTGGGAGTCGTAAAAAGTCTGCATTATTTGATGTCGCCAGCAGAACGAGCCGTCTGGTCATAAAGCCGACATAAGCCACGTGTGTGGCTAACGTCATGAATTTTTTGTTATCTACGACATCCGACAGTGCTGACTCATCCACTACCACATTAATGCAACAAGAGCTCCAAATTAAGCAATCGATTTAGCCAATCGACTTCATTGTTTAAGTTAACCTCTTTGTTGTTTTACTGAAGTGGTGGCCATTTTGAATTTGCGCCTAATTCAACCGACTTGTACACAGTGGCCTTCAGGTGACAGCTTCATTTTAGTTAAAGTGTTTTTTGCGGAACCCAACTGTTATCTTCAGTGGCAATTTGGCATAAGAACGGAGCTATGATCGCTTCAAGAATTCCAACAGACTCGCACTTTCCCGTCCACAAGAGAACTGCCGTTGCCAGGCGCTTCGCGCTGAAGTCGAGTCCTCCAGCAGCCCAGTTCTGGTTGAGTGGTTTGCCGAGGAATTCGCAGCAAAGTCGACACCCGTCCACAACCACTGCTTCCCTCTCCGTCGCCACCTTCGCTGACGAAACCGTCGCCAGCGTTCTGCACGTCCGAGGGTGGCACATCGCCCTGGACGCATTCATCCGTGGCAAGGCACTCCTGACGCTGGCGATGGTCCTGCAGGCGTTGAAACAGCCCAAGACTCGGCAGCTGGATCGTGTGGCGACGGAGATTTTTCGCGGTTGAGTCTGGTGCATTGCCGGAAAACTCGCCCAGTTCAAGGGCTTCATCAGCCTACAGGGAGTTGGCACTAGGTGTTTGAAAATCGATAAGCGCGCACCATTTTTTCACAAGCGTAGCACAAACCACGTCAACTGAATGGACGTAAGTGGACCAATTGCAGATCGCTTCCTTCAGACCAATGATTCTAATAGAAGGCCCAACTCCTGCCCTAGAAATAGGCGACCCCACCAATCAAAGCACGGATATGAAAGATCAATACCAAGAGGACTTTCGGATTGGTCCATACTAGAACTTCGTCTTCCTTCTCCCTAACTTGTTATTAATGCCATCGATATCAGAACACTCAACTTTTCCCTACAGATCTACCTTTTAAGGAGGTGCAGTCACTTGGCCAAGGTGATCAATCTGGGTATCTCGTAAGAGGTTTGTCGCTCTGCCTACCAATCACGTGCGAGGACAGTCCCTCAAATTGACCTGCAACAACACACTGAGTTGCCATTGGTTCACTTCTACCAGGTACACGTAATTACGACGCAAGAGGAGAGTACACGCCAATTTCCAGTATTTCTGATGACAAGTACTTTTTCGTCTTCAAAGCGAAGTCAAATCACAAAGTTTGATGATTCGCTTCATCACAATGACCCGGGGCTCTCTACACACTCGTTATCTCAGCTGATTCTGGGAAACGCCCAGTAAGCTTGTGACTGTAGATTCCCTGCCAAAACGGACTCATCGTCTCTTTCTTAGCTAAGAACCAACTTGTTAGAAGATAGATTGAAAAGCATCCAATCTGAGCTCAAGATCCATCAATTAGTATCCAATGAAATCGTCTTGACGTGGCTGGGGCACAATGGTGTCCATTTAAGCACCCAGAATGAACCAACCACGACGTAGCAAGCCCAACACAACAATTACGCGCCCGGGTCCGAATTGACCAATCAGCATTAGCCAATCACGAGACAGCAAACTTCCTTTTCCCCCTGAATCCGTAATTATCTCCGTGACACATCGAGCGAGTGTACTGGTCAGGGGTGGTACCCAGCTGTGAGTCACGCCTACAACTGGTAAACAAGGAAGACATCTTGGCGTGGGGCGTACTCAAGGTCACACGTCGCGAAAACACCACATGACCGCAAGTCGTTTTTAGGGCGGTGATCATGCCGACCCACCTCCCCTTGAACTCAACTTCAGACGCGGTTAAATCGGGTGAGATGCCACAAAATTTGAACCAAAAAGCGCATGCAAAGACGTTTTTTTTGGCAGGAAATAGACAAACAAAAAGATAACTTTCAACGACAGTGAGAGTTGGCGGTGAAGACACCGCCTCTTCATGCAGGTGCGATGGTGGGACATGCGACTCCTACCTGGAGAATGGACAGAGCGATGCGAACGTCGGTTCTTTTCGCCTAAAAAAGGAGACAGACGCAATTCAGGCTTGGCCAGGCGTAACACCCTGAAGGGGATTTAATTCGCTTCCTGACAAGACGAAGTTTTCGCGCACCCGAAAGTCACTAGTCCAGGTGGCAAGCAGGTCATTGCAGACGTCGGACTGAGTCGACGGACTAACCACCACCTCCTGGTCATCCATCGGTCTGCTGACGGACAAGTTCTGCACAGCAGTGGCCGTCAAGGAAACAGCCTCGTCGTATTCCTCGGGCAGGGTTTTCTGCGACGGACATTCAGGTACCCTCAGGGGGTCCGTAGGTGACGCCACGGACGTCGTCTCTTCAGCATCGTCCTCGTTTCTTTCTTCTTCTTCCTCCTCCTCCTCTTCTTCACGCCAAATCGATAGTTTGGATTCCCACGGAGGGTGCGCTCCTGGTTGGTCGGTTGCCGTCGGTAGGGAGGGTCCGCTTCCCGTGTCGGAACCACCCTCGCTGACAATTGGTTGATCCGACGGACTATGGGGGGAAACAGGCGGTCTCGGGTCGTTGCTGCTCGACTGCTGAGCGTCAGCGGCGGTGGGCGGCGGCTGCAGAGAGGGGCCCGTGCGTTTGATCCACATCTCCACGGTCTCGTGGAGTGCGGGCTGATCGATGAAGCGGTAGATCTTGTCCGAGAGGAGCTCGTAGCAGGCGTGAAGACGGTCAAATTTGCGGTGGGACGTGGAGAGACGAATCTACGCGGGCAAAAAAAAACGAAAAAAACGTATGTACGCGGAGAAACGATACGATTGTTGAAATCGCCAATGCAGCCGCACCTCTTCTTCGTCCGCCCCGGTAGCCAATGAGAGTGCACGGATTATGCCAGCATCAAGGGACTGCATGAGTCGTTCCGTGCGGCTCGCCAGCACAACGCTGCTGTGCTCCGGGAACTGGCGCTCAAAGACCTCGTCGACGTGGCGTTTGCGTGCCGCGTCCTCGTGGTAGGACATTAGACGCGTGTAGTGCAGCAGATTGGGCGAAGCCTGCATCCATGCGGTGGCTGTTACCTGAGACAAATGTACAGAGTTGCGGCGTTTTAATTGGTCGATGTCAAGGTCACACACGCACACACGGAATCCCATTGGCTAACCTGCGAGAGACGAAAGCGCTTCGCCGGGTCGACCTGCAGCATCCCGCGAATCACGTGCTCGCAGGCCGTGCTGAGGAAGAAGGGAAAACGCACGAGACCGCGCAACACCTGACTCCGGATGTCTCCGAGTGACTCACCCGGGAATGGAAACGAGCCGCACACGAGGATGTAGAGAATGACGCCGAGGCTCTGCACCAAAAAGAGATGAGAGTAGCCAATGAGAAAGCGGCGCACAACAACACAGCGACAACGACAAGCGCCTTACCCAGACATCCACCAGCGGACCGTCGTAGGACTCGCCCTTGAACAACTCCGGCGCTGCGTACTGCGGACTGCCGCAGTGCGTCGTAAGTAGGTGCTCCGGGCGGAAGAAGTTGCAGAAGCCGAAATCTGAAGGGAGAAGTTACCCGGGCGTGAACGCTGGCCAATCACGGTTGGCGGGTGGCAGGCTTAGCACGCGCTTACCGGCGACTTTGATTTTGAAATGCGCGTCGATAAGGAGGTTCTCGGCCTTCAGGTCGCGATGCACGATGCCTGACTTGTGGCAGTAGTCGATGGCGCACACCGTCTGCCAGAAGAGCTCTCGCGCCTCCTTCTCCGTGAAGGCGTGCGAGAGACTGATGTGATCTGCGCACAAGAAAGGGTGATAAAAAGAAAAGAAGAGCGACTTACCGAAGAAAAGAAGAAAAGAAAAGAAGAAAAAAAGAAAGAAGAAAGAAGAAAGAAAAAGAAAAAGAAAAAGAAAGAAAGAAAAAGAAAGAAGAAAAAAAGAAAAGCGCGACTTACCGAAGACTTCGCCTCGGCTAGCGTACTCCATGACCATGTAGATGTTCGTCTCGGTCTCCATGATGTGGTAGAGCCGGACGATGTGTGGGTGGTGACACCGCTTCATGGCCTCCAGCTCGCGCGACACCTTGGCCAAGTTCTGCCCGCCAATCAGCTCCTTGTTGATTATCTTCACGGCCACCTGGTGCAGAAAAGGGGGAATTAAAAAAAACTGGCTACTTAATTGTACATCAGTAGGATGGTTTTACCTGCACGTGGAGCTGGGTGTGGGTGGCGAGTTTCACGACGGCGAAGTTACCGCGACCCAGCAGTCGGTCCATGCGGTAGGGGCCGACGTAGGAGGGGTGGGTGGGCACTGTGACGTCGTAGGGGGCACCTCCTGGGCCGCCGCTGCCACCGCCGACAGAGAGGCGTCCCGAGCATGGCTGAGAGAGCCGAGGAGAGTACAGTCCGGAGACAGCGGGTGAATGAAAGAGTCCTGGGAGGTCTAAGCACGGAATTGGCCGATTGACTTCATTTTCAAGGAGCTAATTCTCCTTCTACTTGCTAATTATCAGTAGGAGGTTTTGTGCGTAAGAAATTACCCTCCCGAGAAAGCTAGGAATTGCGGTGCGTTGTGAATTTTTTTCATTAATGCGAAAAACTTACATTTTTTCACACCGCGTAGTTGTGGATTGAAGGGGCCAGATGATGCTTGCGAGTGGACAGGACAAAACACACCTGAAGGTCAATTTAAGGTTGAATGATCAAATCTTATCAGAGAAGACAAAATCAATATGGTATTGTTGTCCGCTAGCGAGAATCTGGGTGAGGTAACTGCCACTGCCGGCACTAACTACTTTTAATGATATGAGTAGCATGGTAGCTGATCAAATAACTAGGGGATCACGAAATTTGAAAGTTTGAATGGTCTTGGCTACAGCAGTACCCCATGGTCACAAATCAAGAGCAGTTGTCCATACAAGGCGCGTCGCCAATAGCAACAGCTCTCCCTGGTGTTTTTTTAAAGTTGATATAGTTATACTACTTAGCCGTAATTCAGTAGGTGATCTAGCTTGAGTTCAACTTATTCACTAATCGGGGAGCAATGTAGCACTGTTTCAGCAAGGCCGTTAAAAATAACGGTTATTTCAGTGTGAAATTACAGAAGTTTAGAGAGACGCGAGAGTTCTGAATGGACACGCAATGGCTTCACTAACGACACTACCGGCCAGTTTTGACGATTGCGAAAACTAGAGCTTACCAAAATCAGCCAGTAGGGCTTGCTTCAGCTGTGGATCAATATTTGCCTGTGTCTTCGATGCCTCCTGCCCCGCACAAGCGGAGACGACGCCACTTGTGGCGGCCTTCAGTAGGGGCTGGTGAAGGTCGATTGATCCGAAGCGTCGTTCTCTGGCTTCAGAGTCCTCTGTCGACGAGGAGGTGGTAGATCCTGTAACTTCAACGACTCGGCTGCCACGGCCACCGCCTCGGTGTCCACGATGCGCGCCGACTGCGTAGCGGTCGGCCGAGGAATCGGTGTTGGACGAAGAGAATGTGGTCGTGGAACCGCCCGACGAGCTGTCACGTGGGGGGCCACGTGGTGTAGCGGTGCCGGGCACAGATTGAGGTTGGGCTTCCATTGGTTCATCGCCCTCCTGACGAGAGGAGAGTGTTGACGGGCTTAAGGATCAACAATTTCATATTTTCAGGACCACACCAGTTCTAATGAGAACCCTGGATGCTAGATGTAGGGCCAATAGTGAGAATAATGGGGCAAAAGATGCTCAGGCATTTTAACTAGACCTGCGGAACGGTCTAATACACACAACTAGAGACTTCGAAAAATGAGAGTGCCGGGATTTCAAAAATCGGGCCAGAAAAATACCCTCCTGGCAAAAACGCCTAACGGAGCTGCTCTTAGTAACAAATTGTCGCCGTAAACGGATATAACGTTCTCGTAAGTCAGACCTCTGGCCGGCGAAACAGAATATTACTTTAAAAATGTCCAAGCAACGTGCCCATTACCTTACGGAGGCCGGTGCCTCATCTTGTTCCTCTTGTCGAAGAAGTTGTCTCCGGGGCGTGTCTCCAGATTGTGCGGCTTTTGAAGATGAACGACTCATGTGGAGATGAGTTTTACACACATCCTCATTAGCAAATTCCCCTATGAGAAAGCAAGGCAGAAAATAAAGCTAATTTCGGCGAATTCAGTCAGTTCAATCAACAAAAAAATAGACTTATTTTGGAGGCAAACATCACAAAATACCATTATAGAACATAATGAGGGCAGTCGTTGTTAACTAGGAATATGTCATACACGTTAAAGGATGGTTAGCTGTGTATGCAGCATAGAATATGAGACGGTGAATAAACGGGTTTAACGTAATAGACAATTCCACACAAACTCACACAAGAGGAACAGGACGTACACGAAATCTTGACAAGTGAGGCAAAATAATGGTTTGAGCATCCAAGGACCTTAGCAGATGAGAGCAAGTACTTTTCACAGTCCAATGCCTTGTAATTTTCAACGCCAGACAATGCCAAAAGTGTTTACTTTCAGATAAACCAAACAAACAGAAAAATACAACATTTTAAATATTCTAGGTAGATAATAAACATTGTAAGACTGAACTGAAATTAAAGTGGTCAACCAACTATTAAACAGCATTACAACAAACAAAGTTATGTACACTAACCTCTCTAGTTCATTAACAAGGGTTCCATTCTATGGCTGGCCAGTGCATGCCAAAAATTGATAAGTCGATAAATTGCACCAAAAAACAACGCGTTCTATGGACGACAAAGTAAGCGCGTAGCTCTGACTTTAGGGTTTAGTCTACTTTTTTGCAAACATTTTATTAAAACGGTGGAATTTTTTGCAAATTAGGTCAATAATTGGTAATAATAAATATTTTTTTAGTAAAACTGCAGTATTATCATTTAACAAATTAAGTAAATTAGCATAGTTTTACTTTTTCATAAACTCCGGGAAGGGAAATTAAAGTTTAGTTTGTGCGTAATATTTGAAGTTACGTCATTTAGATACAGACCCAAAATTATAGATCCTATCTAATGACGTTCAAAGCGTTTCTCGGGTTTTTTTAAAACATTGCATGCCCATTTTTCACACTTGATAGTAAAAATTCCTCGTCGAAAGACCTCTCTCTCAGCAAAAATTAAAAATTTTTCCCAAATGCTTTTGAACAACACGATGGCCTTAAAGAGTCAATGATGCAATATAATTAATTTTAAATATTCCTATGTTTATCGTTTCTGTAACATGTCACTAAGTTGACGGAGTCATATTTCGACACATTTTCATTCACCTTGAACTCTCTCTTGGAGAAGCCTCATTTCTTAACAATCAATTTTATTTCGAAGCCAAAAATTTCCACTTTTTCTTACTTAGTTATCATTCACAAACACCCATTTATTTTGTTATAATTGAAATTTTCACTCGATTCTCGATCCCTGATTAGCCTGCCTTAATGCTATTTACGCAAATGTTAGCTGCCTTGATTTTCTCTTCCCATCAATTAATGGATCGAAAACTTCGCAAGAAGAACCTGATGTAGCAGAAACTTAAGTTTATTGTAAACTTGCAAATTTTGATGCCATTCAGCCGAAGCACAGATTATTTATTAAACCTTTTTCAAGCCTATCAAAATAAATAGCATCTGTAATGCAAAAAATATTTTAAGATGAAGATTACAATTTTAAAAGTTTTATTGTTTTTGTCGCATTTAACTCCCTTGTTATCGAACAATAATATTAGACACCCTTGTCGTTTGTCATCGTGTATATGATATTAATCAAATTCTTAAGCTAAAACAGCTTAGTTTTATCGATTTGCGGTCTTTAGAGCTGCTTATACACAAAACACTAATGTTAAAAAACACCTAATACTAAACAGTGTTCTAAGCCACAACGACATTAATCCCTGAAATTATGTTTTTTTAAGAATCTAATATTTATTTAGCGATTCCGGGCCTAATCCCGCCCCATTACTACAAGTGGCGTGACTTAAAACCAAGGACCAACCCAGGTATTCATTATAAAAGAGGAATCAAGGCAAATACGGCAAACTAAAAAAAATTCCTTATAGCATATAATAGACTGTTGGATAGCATAAAGTAATCTTCACAATATTGCAACCATTTGCCAAGTATAATAACACATATATTGAAAGGAATTAATTGGCAGTCTCAACATCAGGGTTGCTTACCTTAATTGGAGATCACTTTTCGTGTTATGCCACAAAATATATATTTTTCCTGCGTGTGAATATTTATGTTCAAAATCTATCAGATACGCCCTTCATGTTTTTCTTATGAAAATCAAATAGTAAAATATTTGAAAAGGGGTACGGATACATATGGGCAAACATCAATTAATTCTTTTCTAAATGTCTCGCTCTATTACATTGCAACCACTTTAGTCAATTTTATTAGAATTTTAGATTTATTTCTGACAACGATTTCTTGTTTCTTTTTAATAAAATTAAATGCAGAATCAAATCTAATTTATTTTTTTAAATTAAAACAAAAATTATAAATTGAGAATTAATTTAAGAAAGTTTATAGAAAATGATGCTTTAGGTAATTTTTTGTATTTTGGCATGGATACATTTTTTAAATGTTGATTGTTTTAATGAATCGATTGGCTTCGTTTCCTGCTGGTTTTTGAACACTCCTCAGGTTCTCACAGTGTTATCGCGCGTCGGCTCCATCAGAATGTCCGCCGTCGCTATGTCGAAACGCATCGAAGTTGAAAAAGAAGGGAAGAAGCTTGCTGATGTACGTTTAGTGCCTTCTAAGATATTTCTTGCAGATCAAGGAGCTAATCCTTGACGGATGCTCTGCCACCGAGATCGAGGGACTAAATGATGAATTCTCGTCCTTGGAGCATCTCAGTGTTGCAAACGTGGGGCTGACGACCCTCTCCGGCATGCCTTCTCTACCCGCGTTGAAAAAGGTACGTGTATTCGTTCCATTTGCTAATGTCTTTAGCTTGATGCCTCGGGAAACCCAATTGCAGGTGGACTTGATGCCCTTTTAAATTGTCCTAACCTTGTGTCTCTTAATTTGTCCGGCAACAAACTATCCAACGTTAGTGATCTCGCTACTCTGGCGTCGTTGGACAGTCTCACTCGTCTTGAGTTGAATGACTGTGAGTTAGCGACCCTCGAGAATTACCGCAAAGAGGTCTTCGCCGTTCTGCCCAACTTAAGGTACCTTGATGGTCTTGACCAGAACGGCATCGAGGAGACCCAAAACGTGGGTCCTGATGGAGACATTAATGGCGTGAGTAACGGTCATGTTCCACCAAAAGATGAAAGCGATCAGGCTAGTGAGGACGAAGACGGTGAAAGCAGTGAGGAGCCGGTGGAGAATGGAGACGCTCCGGGCTCCGAGGAAGACGATGAGATTGGGCTTTCCGTCCTCCAAGGCAGCAAGGAATTGGAAGATGACGATGGTGAAGATTACGTTCCTGGTATGTCATCATTCTGGTTGTATTGCGCTATTAATCTGCGTATCTCGGCTTACCTCTTTTAATTCATCGAAGGTGACGATGACGATGAAGAGGATGACGATATTGAAGAGGAGGGAATCGAGGATGAACTCGCTGCTCTCTCGGGTGAGGAAGAGAGCGACCGCCGATGTTCCGTTAAACGGCCCGCAGAGGATATCGAAGCGGAGGGAGTCAGTGAGGCGAAATGCCGAGCCACTGACGACGGTGAAGCCGAGTAAACGCGTATGCGGGTACACTGGTTAAGGCGTCATCTTGTGTACCAACGTTTTTAATTGTTTGACGGAACTCTTTAACATTCTAGAGGCATACCAGTTTACACACATATTTGTACAGTTTATTCACACCATTTCCCTAACGGCGTCATCCCTCACCATTTTGCATGCCATTTCTACTCTGCCATATAGAGAACCTGCTATCATTCTGGAGTCCATTCTTGTACTCTGTTCTTTTCTACTCGTTACCATCCGCAGAGGGCGGTTGATTTGTGTATCGTGTTGTCCTAATTGTCGATCAGACACCAATCCAGCTGGTCGTTGCTTTTAAAGAATCCGCGTTGTCTTTTTTTGGGGTTCCTTGCAGTCAGCTTTTGGGGTGTGTTGACATGCGTTCTTTTTACCCACCTTAGCGTGTCGAGGTGGCGTACAAGAAGTTCGTAGAATCAAAATACGGTTTTGGAACGTTATCTTTTTCCGAGGAGGCCTCCGGTTGTCCACTTGGTTGTCAGCTTGTAAACAAGCTCCAGTTGTGGGTAGTTATACTGTTGCAGGGGCGCAAGAGCCTTGCAGGCGCTGAGCGATCTGTCATGGATGTGGATTGTATGTGGTTTACCCAATGACGGCGGTCTGTTGAGCGGCCGTTCGTGAATGTCTGCTATCATTCGACTCAACAACCGGGGTTTTACGGTCAAGTGTTTGGAATTCTAGCGCGATGCTTAGTTGTAGTGTATGGCATTGTAGGCAGTGGGGTTTTCAAGTAAGGTGGCTGTTTGCCATTAAGTTGCTTTTGAGATTTTTAACCGTTGTTAATTACTGAAACAGATGACGGCCTGCTGATTTACATAGCACATGCTTACAAATCCTACAGACAAAAGGAGATGAAGGCAAATGTAGGAATCTCCTACGTGATAAACGATGTCGTGGTGCACGTATTGATGGTGTGTGGACATCGCGTTTTTTTCCTAGATACTCATATTCAGTACTTATTTCTTGCCCAGTGAAATGCAGCAATTTTAATCGTCAATATAATACGCGGAACTGAAGCTGGTTCAATGTGTCGAGTCGACCAACTGTCGGCTTCTCAGGATAATGATTCTATATCAAATATCAGGGAAGTGCCAAGCACTTTGATCGACACTAAGAGAGGTAATCGGATTCTGCCTCGAGGTATTCCTCACAGATTACCAAATGTGAATCTTGTTGATGTCATCTGAAAAAAGTGCATGTATTCGGGACAGTTCTACTCGATGTTAGTTAGATGGCATCAATCATATTTGCGGTGTCTCGCCCGGTCAGTTTATTTGTTCACACAAACCCCTTAGCAACTGTCGCCCGTGTCCAACTCACTCGATTTGGAGTTCGACAGACGTCTCTCATCTTGTTTTTGGTAGAAATTTTGACATGATTACGTAGAACATTTATTCGCACGGACGCCCATAATCCGGTAAGAATTATCGGATTAACATATGCCTCATGACACGATCGTTCCTCCCCTTAACACACACACACACACACAGAACTTAATCCCACACACCCCCTTCCCTTAACCTCATCACCTACATAACCTCCACCCCTTTAACCATCGCACACCTTTGTCAATAAATTAAAAAAAACGATTGGAGAATCGATTTTTTTGTTCAGATATGTTCATTTGGCTATGAACTCGTGGCATCGCATGGTATAGCGTAGCAATAGCTTCGACAAATGTGGCCCAATTAGGGATCCGAAAACCACCGTAGTAGTCACCTTCGTTAACACCGTAATCGTGTTAAATGGGATTACGAGTTAACCGGCGCCTAGTTTATTGCCTGGAGTTTGCCACCGGCGGTATTAACCTATGCCTTAGTTACTTCTTCTGCTTCTTCGGCCAATCAGACTTTGACGTTGCAACCAATGGTTTTTGTCGATGTGCGCGTCACAAATTGACCCATTCTGTGCACCCAGGTTGTGTATTTAGATTGCGGTGTGACGTTATGCCTCCATGCCACATTTATCTATTTCCTAAACAACGCCATTGCTGAATGTGTATTTCCGTGCTGTAACCGTTAGGCACGCCTTATTTTCGTGAAAAATTAAGCATCTCTAATTTACCAATCGAAATTCGCCATTACGGAGTGAAGTGCTCGCGTAATCTAAGCATTGTTTGGGCGCCAGCGTATTTTCGTGACCGGTGGTATTCACTGCTTATTTACTAAGCGACTTTAGGCGCGGTAAATATCATTTTCACGCATCACTGCGAAGGTGCACAATAAAGAAAATGTTATTTTACTCTCCGTTGTTATCTGCCGTATCACCATGCTCAAATTTGAACGAAATCTCAAGAAATGTGTGACGTCACGTCCAGACACACGCTTTATCCGTAACGCTGAACAGAGAGGTCAGCAATGACGGCTTGATGAAAATTTTTAATGATGTTTCAACCAAACTCGGAAGGAAATATTCAATTAGCCGAGTGGTTTGGCTAACTAATGATTAGCAAAGGAGAAAAGGTGTCTGAGTCTGGCAGAATGTGGAGCGCAATTGCACAAAATTCTCACATTCCTATTGGCTAACGCAGAATCTGTCAAGTGATGTCTTGGAGCCAAGACAAAACCTGCCTGAACTTGAAACATTAGTCACTTCGACTGACAGTCTCAGCAAAATCCACCCACGTAATTTCCATCCTCTCATCTGCAGTTACCGCTCACCAGGGGGCCAATGCTACAGGTTGGCTACGCTGGTTTGACGGATAAGGCTTCCAACTTCTTGTCTCACGCTGCTTTTATTCCCACGCTCCGAAGTGTGCTTAAATAAGTCTGATGTGACCATTTTTAAAATAGCAACCTTAGAGACTCATTTAATTATTGATTATCGATCGATTTCTTTGATGATTTTCACTAAAATCGACATCTTCCTTCAGCCGAAACTCATACAAAAACATTTAACCTACCACACGAGAGCCCAACTATGCGAAACCTGACCACACAATCAACTTATTGATTTTCATTGGTTGAGCGATTAAATACATTCTGACCAATCAAATGAACTGTAGCCAACAAGTGTGCGGTTATTGGTCTCGTCGAGTTAAGGGGAGGAAGTTAACAGAGGGAAGTTAAGATCACGAACGAGGGGGGAATAAACGTTTACTAGGCGACTTTAACATGACAGTTAGACAATGAAATTCAATTGAACCGGTAAAGTTACCGGGTCGTGAGTAACTGGATCGATGTAGGCAGCAAAATTGATAAAAGCAGTAGCTTTGGAATCATTTGAGAATTCTACAAATTAGTTTGAACTTCTTCCGGCTCATTAGTAGCCAGACGCAGGATATTTTTCGAATACTATTCGTGCATTCTTACGACACCACATATTGATTTAATCTGCCATCCCACCAGTGGTCGCATTTAACTGTTGCCTACCTCTGTGCAACCATGGTGAGCCCCGATAAGCCAGGGTGTGGGTGCTTTTTTAAACAAGTCTTGTGGACCAATCGGAACTGCGCTACAGAGGCGCCACTTACAATTCTATTGGGTACGCGAATTTACCACACAAGGAATGGCAGGAGAGCTAGCAATGCAGCCAATCACGTATCTTGCACCCAAGTAGGCATTGCCAAAGTTGTTTGTGCATCTCCCCTTTGGAATGAGATGAAATATTCGCGAATGGGGAAAAATATGCGGTTCCGTAAATTAATGTAATGAAAACAATACAAGAGGTGGGTTGAGGGGCGTTTTTTTTCACCGTTTCGTCGACTGGTGGGCGGGTATGATAGCCCCAATCAGAGCCAGACAATGGGTCAATGTCCTTGAAAATGTGCACCAATTGTGCAAGTACGCACAAATCGACAGCAATCGCTGGCCACAGACGATGCCTGACAATTGCGCAGTGAGCGCTCCACCGCGATACCAAGGCCGTCAGCTCGCATTAAATCAGCACGTGAGCCGTCTGGTACTCGAAACTTCACACACATACGCCGACCTTAACAGCTGAAATTCGTTCCTATGGTAGGAGGTGTACACAAAATCGGTCAACCAGTCCGTAAAGTAGTGCGCATCACTGCGCGCGGATGCGTGCCCTGTAGACGCCAAGTCATCATTTCGATATACGCGCAAACGCCAAACCGACCAATCACGTGAGAGGCCTTAGTCACGCTCTGTACGCAGGCGTGACTGTAGCCACCGCCTCGACGTATCATCAACGCCCTTTTAAGCCAAGTCCGGAATTACAGCAGACTTAAAGAAACTAACACTACTGAAAGTAGCCAGTAATACGTAAGCCAGACATACTGTTGAGGTTATTTCAAAAGAACGAACTCAAAACCAACCACACCGACTAACCAATCAGCAATCAATAATCCGACCAATGGCGTCGTTCCTCTCAGAAATCCCCAACATTAATCGAATTACTTATTTCAATGTACTCAGAGCACAAGACAGGAAAGTGGGAACCCGTTTTAAGCAAAGATGTTTGTATCTAAGTAAACTGACCAACGAATGCGACACTAACAAAGTACACACACACTACTAAAAACCTCCAGCGACTGCCGCGGCGGCCATCTTCTGCTGGAACTCCTGTTGCAAGGACGCGAACATCTCCGCGACCGGGATGTTGTAGACTTTGCAGGCGTGGATTTGCGCCTTCACGCCTTCGCGCAGGGAGATGAGGTGGGTCAAGTCGGCAAACGTCTTGGCCTGTTCGATGCCGCGATTGAAGTAGGTCAACGCCTCCTCGAATTCGCCGCGCTCCATTGCCAGCTGGCCAAGCAACTCCAGCGCCAACTCACACATGGGATCGACCTGGGCACATCAATTAGGAACGTCAATCGACCAATCACGTTTACGTGCAAGTCGCGCCTGATTGGTCAGACACGTCTGACCAATGGGACACGAGAGCATAGAATTACCTCAATGCCTTTCTGGAACCACTTCATGGCAGCTGCCTGGTCTTGCTTCCATCGAAGTTGAAGAAGACCCCGATGAGCGTAGGGCATGCCCGAGGTTGGAGAAAGTTCGATTGCCTTGGCGAAAAGAGCGTCGCTGGCTTCAAACTCGCCTCGCTCCGTCAGAACCTAGGTGTTGAACAAAAACGAGTACCGGGTTGAAAAAAAAGGCATCAACTTGTCGGTGAGTCGAAGTGTTGTAGGGAGAGAGCCCACCTGCGCGTAGAGCGAATTCGTCTCGATGCACTCGGGATACTTCTCCGTGAGTTCCTTAAACTCCGCCACACGCTGCTCCGCCAACGAGGTCTTGTTCTCACTCAGAGCGCGTCGATACAGAGTGTAGAGGCGTTGGGCCTAAAAACGAGCAAAACGGCACGTTTGTACACACGCAGACACACACGCCCACACACAGCGTCGGACTCATGGCTGGCTCACCTGCGCAACGGAGAAATCCGGCTTCAACTTGACGGCCTCGTTGAGGTCGTTTTGTGCGTCTTCGATGTGATCAGCGAGGAGGTTGATTTGCCCGCGGTGTAAGTAGACATCGGGGCAATCTGGGCAGAGTGTTAGGGCCTGCTGGAAGGTGTAGAGGCAGCCCGAGAGGTCCTGAAAACGTCGAAACAACGCTACTAGCAATTGCTAAGTAGAATGTATATATACATATATATATTTCCTGTGGTGCATCGAGAGAACAGCTGAGAGAATGGAAAACCAACGAAATCCACTTGATTCGGAAAGTAAAATGTCACTTAAGAAACCACGAAAAAGAAATGAGCAAGCATAATTTGGAGGACCCAACAACGACACCAACTGGTAACCAATAAGATTTTAGACACGCGCAGATCCGCACCTGATTGGTTAACTATTTGGGTGCATGTCACGCCCGGATAACGACATCTTATAAGTAGATTTTCTAGCATAGAAGGTACAAAGCAATGCAAAAAAACAGTAGTGTTGAAAATTCCGTTAGGTAGAATATATGTATTTCCTGCGACGACACGGCCACCTGATTGGGAAATTAAAATGCCATCTAAGATACCGCTAAAAAAAATGAACAGGCATAGTTTCGAAGCCCTACAACGATACCAACGGGTAGCCAATCAGATATTAGGCACGTGCAGATCCACGCGTGATTGGTTAACTACCTGGATGCATGTCACGACCGGATGACGACATCTTATGAGTAGATTTTTAGCATAGAAGGTATGGAGTAATGCAAACGACAGTGGTGCCGAAAATCCCGCCAAAAATAAGTGTTTGGATGGACAACAGCTGCAGCTTTCCTATTGGTTAAGTCAAATTTCGCGGGAAACCGCGCAACCAATAGAGAAACGGCATCTGCGACGCACCTGCTCGAGAGTCATGAAGAGACAGGCGGCCTTGATGAGGGCGTTGACGCGGACCGAGGGCGCGGCGAACATGGTCTCGCCGACGGCCAGCAGCTGTGCCTTGGCCTCCTCCGCGGCACCCGACAGAGCCTTGTACGTGGCGTCCAGGAGAAGGGCGCGTGCGCGCGCCGACTCGGGCTTCTCGCGGTCGCCGAAACGCGAATGCTCGAAATCCGTCAAGTTGACGCTGGGGGACTAGGATTAGAGAAAAAAAAATGCACAAAATTGAAATCGACACAACAGAGGAGGATGGGTAGAAGGGGAGGTGGTGGAGGAAGTGGCGGTGGCGGTGGTGGTGGTGGATGAGATAGTGGGGGTTATGATGGAAGAAATTCTGAGGGAGATGGTGGTCGTAACGTAGGTTGAGGTGCAGGAGGTGGTGGCAAAGGAGATTGTAGTGGTGAAGGTGGCTGTGGAGATGGAAAAGGAGGTTGTGGTTGTGGAGGTGGCGTTAGCAGAGAAGGCAGTGGCATTGACGGTGGTGGAGAAGATGACTTAGCGGGCGAGGCGGCATATTGCTCACAGAGTTGAAATTCTTCACAGCTGCAGCAGCCCACTTCAATGAGGCCTCGTAATTCTCCTTTTCAACCTCCTCCAGTGCCTTCTCCAGCGCCTCGTACGCCTGCACCAACTTCTCCGGCAGCACAAATTCTGGCGGCGACGACGGCTCCTCGGTGTTTTCAGCCGCCGGTCCGTTCGACGCATCCTCTTCTGCGCGCGCCTTCTTGCCGTGCTTCTTCTTGGCAGGCCGTGGAAGCATCGACTCGGCCACGGTGAAGGGATTCCACACGAAGGACCTACAAATGCGCTAACTCGTCACTAAATCGATACGTCTGGAATTAGGAGAACACCGCACTAGTCAGGAACTAACCCGAGGTAGTTCTTAATGAACGATGAGGAGGGCAGATTTCGTGGCAGCTTCGGCTGTTCCTCCTTCGCCAGTTGTTGCGCCAATTTCTTCAAGACACGGTCAATGCAAAGCACATTGTCCTAAATCCAGCAAACACAATTGTCACCAGACGGTAGATAACTGCTGATGAAGGTCAATTAGTGGCCGCCAAGCCATTGGGCCAAATGCCACTTTGTAGAGGGCAAATCGATTTTTGCACAGGCGACTGTTCCGTAAAACGCACCAATAAAGACAGAGAAGATGGTAACGAGACAGCGCAAGCTTACTTTACGTGATTATCATAAATTGGAGGCCCCCCAATTTGTTTGTTTGTAACACGATGCGGTCGATGATCGCAAAACGTGACAACTTAGCCGATAGTCTAACGACACGCGAGTTCACGACGTATCTCTGGGGTTTAACCTCCGTGAGTTAAGTGTGATTTGGTTGTCTAAACTGCATTTAACACGGAGCGATCGAATAGAATCCGACCAGCAATTGGTTTAAACAACCACGATCCACTTTTGACCAATCGATATTAATCAGAAATGTCGGTTGCTGATTGGGTATGTCAAGCTGTCATGGTTACCGTTTGAATCCACGTTATGTGTGCTTGATGTGTGTTACGTATTCAGCTTCCACGAAACAGACTAGACGCGTGCTTGGCAATTAATTTTACGTAACTAAACCGTAACTGACTTCCACCTTATTCTGAATTGGGTTTGCACGCCAAAATATCGATTTCAAAGAAGTTGAAATCAGTAAAAACTTGTGCATTGGCGTCGCTCAGACGTTGCAGTCTTCGTTTTTAACCCCACGCCAAAACCACAGAAAATTTAGGCTGTCTATGCACAAACTAAGAAGCGTCGATTTCCATCTCAGAGGTGCTGTATCGACTAGCCAATGAAATACGACCAGGCCAGTGCTTCAAACCAATAGGAAATGCCGGAGAAGGAGGGAACGGTGATCAATAATGAGGCTAAGGCCAACTAGCCAGAAGTTGGCTTCAAGTGTGTGTAGCCAATGGCAGAGGACACATCTGCCAGAGGTCAAGAATGCGACCTCGACATACACATACACACGCACATGAAACGATCAGCCAATGAGATACTACGACAGCTAATTAGGATCAATGACTGACGACGACTTTCTGCGACACACAGACCAGATTAACCACTTACAAGAGACGCAATGCGAACAGATTAACTCGCCAATGGCAGTTAATACACTAACCTGTGCCTTACACACACACGCACAGAAAAAATGTCGCAAGGCACACTCGTCTTGGTGTGAAACACACACCAAAAATCCATTGATTGTCTAATTTTCAACAGCGGTGACAGTGGCGGTGTGAGGAAGAGAGGCGACGAGTAAAGGCGTGAGTTACAAGCCCGTTTAAGACAGCAAATCTCACACGAGCAAGCAAAAGATAGTGAGTGGTGTGACACACGTCACATAGTAAGACGCCAAATAATCACGTTGGTTAGGTGAAAAAATGGGAAAACCAACAGCGAGTTGGGTTTCTTCGCAGTAATTTGAGCGCAATTCTAGAGTTTGATTGATAAAAAGATTAAGAAGAGCGTGACAGGTTGGAAGAGAACGCTAGATGAGCTTAAGTTGTATCGGCTCGTATCAAACTAAGACTCACACACAAGCTTAACGTGTCGTTTAGTCGTAAACGAGACATGCGTGTGACTAGCGTCGCAATTTCCACCGGTAAATAACCAAAACACGTTTGAACAAAATTTTAACTTCAGCAAAAAAGAGCGCTCAGTTGCTGGTTTTTGAACAAACTGAGCCCCACAAAACCTAATCTGAAAGCAAAATGACTCAAGCAGGGGATAGATTTGGTCAAGAATAGCAACGCTTCAATTAGAAAGTGGCGAAAAAGTAGTTTTTATTTACGAAACCACAGCCAGACTGGAAAAACAACACCCCAATACCCCAAACACACACAAGCCAAAAAGCACCCCAGTTTGTCGAGGAAGCTTGTGACAGCTACGAAACACCTGATATCGCAAGCGAATAAGCATTGAGATAACCACACCTATTAACACATTCTCAGATTGCTGAGTTGAAAGAATTAAGCAGTCAGCTATACTGACCTCGCTAGGTCTCTTTAATATGTCCAAACGGAGACACGTAATCGCGTTAAATGGAGCAGAGAATAGCCTCAGGGGTTGATGGAATACGAAAAGAGAGGGCAAAGTCGTGGTTTTTAGAATGACGTATACATGTCACCAAAACGAAGCCCTAAACCTGAGACCAAACGTAAGTCCGGTTAATAGCCTCCTCACCTTCATAAACGAAATCCCCTGTAGAGGAGACAAGATAAATACCATATCGACATTATCGACTCAAAGTAGATAAACAAGCATAGGATCGCTCTTGAAAAAAGTTGTAATTTTAACAATTCAAGAAAGCGCCTCAAAAGTAAGGAACGTCTGGTTTATTTTGAATTTCCAAGGGCTAGACTAGCAAGCCCCAAATTACACTGCAAAGACGCAATTTACAACAGTGTGTAAACATGACAACCAGTAGCAAACGCGCAACGATGACAATAAGCAGAATTTGGATGACTTGCACGACTTGACATAAGTCCAAAAACGCATTTTATGATACTGACTTGTGAATAATAATAATAAAAAACTTACACCATTCTGGAAGCGTTCTAACATGCAACAAGCGGTGACATCAAAGAGACAGTTCTGGAGGTCGTCTATCTTCTCATACAAATGTGCCCGTCGATTGAGGGCTTTCAAGTACTTTGGTGATAGCTCAAGAGCAGCTGTGCAGTCCTCGATGGCTTTTTCGTACTGATGAAGATTTTCCTGGGCAGCTGCTCTGTTTTGGTAAAAGGTTGCACGTTCATTAATCGCACTGGGAGGACATTGCTCAAGGGCCTCCGTGTAGCACTCGATGGCTTTGGCGTATCGTCCAGCCTTGAAGTTTTTGTTTCCACGATTCTTCAAGGCAATCGCGGCATCCAGAGGAGTTTGCGAAGGAACCTCTGCTACAGGGCGGTCCTTTCGAGGAAGAATTTCGTCCGACGTTTCAGTGCGCTTCCTACCTGCAAAAATAACAACGACTGTGTCAGTGTCCTAAAAATTCAAAAAAAAACATGCAAGGGGGGCAGAGTGTTGCCAAAAAATACCTTTACGTGAAGAATAGAGGTAATGGATTCCGGCAATCGCGGCAATGAGAGCGGGTGTCCCAAACAGCAAAATTTTTTTCCATGAAGCACCAGACAAGGCTATTAAGACGAAAGAGTCAAATTAAAACTGACATACACATGGTCTAAAACTGAACGTTGTGACCGACAAGGATGGGAGCCAATCAGATGGGCGAATAGAAAGCACGATGGGCAACTAAATCGGCGCTATAAACGCAGTGTACAAAAACGTTTACTCAATAAGTCAATCCACTAAGTTCATTGTGCCTTTTGATATGTTTTGCTGCCTCAAAAAATACTCAAAAATACTACTATTTTTGCAGGAAACTTAAAAATTTTGGGCACAATAGTATTTATTTAATTCACACTGAAATTTTAAGTCATGCAGAAAATTAAAGTACACGACTTATTTCGCATAATGAATGTGCATATCTGCACAAAAAATGTCCTCTTGAGATTTGCACTTCAGAAATTTTTATTAATGCCATTATTACATATACTTATCTTCTACAAACACGATTCTCCACGTTTTTTGATCGCATAACGCGATTAATAAATGCCGATTTCATAAACAGCCACAAACTTATGACATTATGCAATATTTATGATGTCGGATGCTGCTTAATTATGCGTCAAAATATGCTACATTTCT